CATTAAAGCCGTTGATTGTTTGTTTGTTGTAAAGCACAAAGCAACACAATGAGATGTTCATGCAGGTTTTTACCAATGTGAACCTGCAGACTTACCATTGAGCCACCAGGGGCTACAGTCGTTGATCTCTTCAACAAAAATGTAAGACATTGCTGCATTATCACTTTCGTCAGAGTATATATCGTCTGCTATAGAAAACGAAAGCACAAAAGCAACTGGAACAAAACAACTTTATGCATAGAAACTAACTAAAAGAAAATATTTACAAATTTCTGTTAGGCAGATTTTGTTGAATAAGACCGTTGTCTGTAGGTTTAATTTCTTCTTGGAAATCTTCTCAAGAAGTCGATAAGCCGTTTTAAAGATGGTGGAAAACATATTATTTGCCCATATATCACAAAGTTTTAGAAATACACATAGACTGTCTTCTCTGTTTTTTGACAATGACATGACCAGGAGACTTTGATAATAAATACAAACCACCACGATTTTAATATGGTTAAATAAGATCTGTTTTATTTCTTTTTTAACACATTGTCTGAACCCAGGATGTCAAAAACGAACAAAATTCCACTTAAAGCTCCATTGCAAACTAACACCGTTTATTATTCCTTTTCGTCCTTCCTTTTACTGTAATTCTTTAAGATTTGTTTGTTTGTTAACTTCAAAGTCGTTTTATGCATACAGTAGCTAAACAATTAGGGTTAGAGTCCTCTACCTTTAACCATGACTGTTTCAATTTTGAGCTTCAGACCACAAGTCGCCATTCAGCAACCATCACATGAAGCTACTACTCTTAACTGAATAACAGTATTGGTTGTTACTGTTATAATGCACCATAGCTGAAAGTACGAAGCGTGTTTGATAGTATCACGCCTCAAGCCCGAGACCCTAGTCCCATATTCTATTTATTTAGCCATGCTCTGATTAATAGGTTTTAAAATATAATATTTTTCAATATTATTTATATCGTGTCAATGCAGAAATGCATACGCTCAATCAATTTTCCAATCCTCCCACTTAAAAGAATGAAAGTTAGCGAACACGGTAAAAACATTCATTCGATTTTGTAGTATACTCAAGTTAGCTAAATTAAGGAAAAACATTATGACAAGTAGACATGGCAATCACTTGATTATCCAACAAAATGGTAGCAAATCATCTTCAGTCTAATTGCAGCCAGTGGCAACAAGAGTAAAGACCCCATATCTCTGGTTAGTAACAAGAAAATAACAGTAAAACCAGATTCTTATCGGTATTGTACTTGTTACTGCTACTGAATCTCAAGGTATTAAAATCCCTGGGATCGTTTTTTGGTTAAAAAAACTACAACATAAACACACGGAATAAAGAATCCAGCAGTAATCAATAAACTTATTGCCAAAAAAGTACTGTATCCAGCAATGTTTATAATTATAAACAAAATATGAGAATTTAGAACATTTTGTAGAAACGCATTGATAAAGTTTTTTACATAGAAATCTAATCAACACACGCTTAGAAATACACTTTAAAATAAACTGCCCTAAACGTTTTCTGAACACACTAATCGGTTCATTGTTGACATTCTGAACAAATTCAATGTGTTTTTAGTAATTACACATTTTTATAAAATATCTATTAATTGTATAAATTTTCATATGACAATAGTGTCCATCCCTTCCTCTTAAGGTATAAGAAAAACCCAATACTCTTAGCAATTCCCCAAAAATGGGATCTCTATTCTAACATAAAGTTTCGAAATTAGTGCTTGTTTGTTTTTGAATTTCGCGCAAAGCTACACGAGGGCTATCTGCGCTAGCCGTCCCTAATTTAGCAGTGTAAGACTAGAAGGAAGGCAGCTAGTCATCGCCACCCACAGCAAACTCTTGGGCTACTCTTTTACCAACGAATAGTGGGATTGACCGTCACATTATAACGCCCCCACGGCTGAAAGGGCGAGCATGTTTGGTGGGAAGGGGATACGAACCCTAGAAATTAGTGATGCCTTAGTAGTTTAAATTTTTAGTGCATGTTTTCACCACAAAAACAAGCTATAGTTAAAAGCCCAAAGACAAATCATGTTTAGTGAAACATTGGCGTTATGAAATAATTCACTTTTTTTTCTCTCTCAAATATTATCATTAACATGAAATATTGCCTACTCTCTTTACAGCTCATGTAAGAGTAGATCTTCCAATCTCTACTCGTGATCATTATTGTGATCCAAATCCAAAAACGTATGATATGACTAAATCTTAGGTAGCTGCAGTACCGTGTATACGTGCACAACTGTAATACCCATTGCTTGGTTTGAATTTCGCGCAAAGCTACACGAGGGATATAAACGCTAGCCGTCCCTAATTTAGCAGTGAAAGACTAGAGGGAAATCCAATTAGACGGAAGACAGCTAGTCATCACCAGGTACCGCCAACTCTTTTACCAACGAATAGTGGGATTGACCGAAACTTTATAACGCTCCCACGGCTGAAAGGTCGAGCAAGTTTGGTGGGACGGGGATTCGAACCCGCGACCCCTCAAATATTCATTGCATTTTATTACATAATATATTATATAGTATATACACACAGTTAATACTCATTGCATTATCCTATTATCTAATATACTACTCTAGAATGAATTTAGTATTGCATATGCTGGCCCGGAAAGTATGCAACAGTGTATTTAATACTAGCAAGCTAATTTACAGTATCTTTAACAAACTTTAGGCTTTTTATGATCAATATGGTGCTAGTTTTTTCTTACCAAGATTTTATTGTTCGTATGAAAAATAGGAGAAAAAAACAAACAAAAACGTTTATCCAATTGCTAGATGCAAATTTATTTTTATGTATCACTATACTATTTTACGTTTTTCATAACGGAATAAAAATAAAGGTGTATAGACATCAGAAGAAAGTAAACATAGTCTTAAATGTTTTCTGGATTTCTAGTCCAAGACATAGTGTTATAAATAATTTATACATGTATGTAAACTTCGTTTGAACCATTAATCTATGCTTTTTGTCAGTTCTGCTGCCTATTTTGTATTTATGGTAAAAACCACTGAAGTTATCTGCTACCACCCCAAATTTTGTACTGCTGACTAAAGGAAATACAGCCAGTAAAACCCACTATCTAAGCTAAGGAATTGACTGTCATTTTTATAATGCATCCACAGCTTAAAATGGGAGAAATATTTTATGATATCACACAGAATTTAACCTGGCTCACTAGCTTTGAAATCCAAAGCTCTATCACAGGACTAACCCACGTCTAGGTGCGGCCAAGAACAAATACATCAAAATAATTGTCATTTAATTTCCTGGCCTTCTGTTTGCTTAACAAATCAGGGTTCAAGTTCACAGTACAAACTCGGGTTGTAGGACCTTATGTCAATATACCATTATACACAAAAACTTTAGCCCTATAGGGCTGTTGCATGTAAGCATATCATGCATTTGCTACCTTTATCTTAATGTAAGATTATCGAAATTTGTTAGTTATTCTGGGTATTTTCACATAACACCATGTCAAGAAAATCATTAAGTTTCATTTGTTCTTTGTCATTCTCTTGATAGAAAACCTGATTTGCCCATGGATGGTAAGGCTTTAAAGTTGTGCGTGGATGTTGACAGCAGTGTCCAAGAGTGGTAGGCGATTCTTGAAGGTTACAGCCTCCCTTATGTTTGGATGAGAATAACCAATAACGTGGGTAGCATTGATCACTCTGTGTAACACTGACGTTACCAGGTTATCTAAGTAATGTTAGGTTTAATCAGTCTAGAACATGATCTCAAACACATCAGTTTGGAGAGATAATAGCTCAGATCAAGTAAAATTGAATGTCCAGCATCTAAAGTACACACACACACACACACACACACACATTGTGTGTTTTAAGTATTGTTTTTTTGTATATCTGTACAATTGTGTCCAGTTTCTTTAGTTCATTTTAAGAAATCAGTTACTCAGAAATACTTTGTAATAAATATTATGTAGAATCTCCTGTTATTCTGTGGACCTATTTTGTCACTCTAAGAGCAACCAGTTTTACCTAACAATACCACAGGACAATATCACAATATCTGAAGTGCATAACAGAACATAATTTCCATTGTTAAAAGGTTTATAACCATTATTTAGTTCTACTTTTCATACATAATAACAACTGTAAGAAGTGGAAACTTTATTCAAAATGTACTGTTCATTGAATATCAATGATTTAATTTTTTCTATTACCATATAAGTATTCACGTTTCTTGAAAGAAGTTATAAAACTTCATTGTATATTCTTATTATTTGAAAATATATAATTTTTAGTCATGGGGATACTGTCCTATTATGCACTTTAGGCATGGGGTAATTGTTCTATAGGACTGATGTTGATGGAGATATGTCTATACAAAGAGAGCCAAGTGACTTTCATCTGTCTTGGCTAGCCAATGGTGGAAAGCATATATTATTTGATTAGCTTCAACTGGCTAAATGATTGATTCCCTTCTGCAAATGTGACAGTGAAGAAAATGTGATGAAAACCTACACAGTTTAGTAAGTGTTTGAATGAGATCCAGGACCTCACCCTTTTGTGGATGTGCATGACACACACACAACACATACATATACAGGATGATTGTAAAGAAATCTTGTATTCAAAATGATTACACTTTAAAAACTACCTGTATTAGTGGAACTAGCTCTCATCAAAGAGATATGGAGAATCAAAAAAAGTTCTATCCAAGGAAGTCTGGACATGGTAAGAGAAGTTTTAAAAACTAGTGCTTTTATAAATACTTGTAATCATGATCATATCTTTTGTTTCTCAATTGGCAAGTAAAAATCTTTCTAAATTACCATCTTTCCTTCAAATCAGTTTTGTGGGAGTGAACATAATTCTCTACTCATCTGTGTTTAACCTTTTTGAAACTGCCTCCAACAGCAGATGAATTTAGCATACTAACAATACTAAATGCTTAATAAAATTAAGGATGTTCATCACAAAAAACAGCTGGACTCTCACCTTACGTGCTCAATAACTAAATTCACAGACTTTATTTCATTAAACACAAAGTATTAATCACAAGCAAGGAGTCAGTGTATGATACAGAATTATTTCACAGATCCAATGATCAGCCTTTTGCTTATACATAACAGCTCAATATTGTTAGCTTTACTTAATAAAGTGTATACAATTTCCAAGATTGAATGATGCAGCTAGAACAAAACAAAAACAAAATACTGCCACTGTTGAACTGGGTTTCCTAGTGAAATGTTCTTTAAAATCTCCTGGAAACTATTGAAAGAACATTCAGTAACTTCATGATACATAGTATTTGTGATGACTCCTATGCTCTGAAATTAAAATATATTTTTTTTGAGGAACTAATTTGTTCTTTATGCCAACGTAGCCTACAGTAAAAAAAAAAGTAGGTCTGCATACATAAGGAACAAACACTGAATATTTACAAACATATTCCAAAACATATTTCAAACTGCAGTCAGCAGTTTGATTTTTCCATTTAACAAGTACCAAATACTAAGCTTTAAACTCAAATTACTTGAAACTAGAAAGTTTATTTTCAAATTATGCTTAGCATAATATTACTCATATAAAAAATTTCAGCTTTGATCTCAAGGTTTTTCTCTCTAAATGCTATGAGAGAATACAAAGCATTGAACATACAAACTCAGACCTCTTAGCCCTTGTACTATGATGACCTAATCATGCTCAAACTTATTTATTGTTTTATATTTCCAATTACTCTGTTAAAAAACAAATTAAATTACAAAGGCACTTTAAATGGAAAAAAAATTAAAAACACAAAATTTAACAATTGAATGGAGGTTGTTTAATAAGTTTTAGTCAAAGAATCTCAGTTCATTCATTCTTTTTTTCTTCTTATGTCAGTGCAAAGCTACAAAATTGGCTGTCCATATTATCTCCACTGCAGGGAATCAAACTCAGGATCTTAGCACTGTAAGTCCATAAGCTCACTGCCTATTCACCAGGGTACATCCCTATTCAAAGTTACTTACCAAAAGAAGAAAAAAAACATCATTTAATGCCTTCAAACCTATAAGTGTGGAAAATGATGTGAATTATATTACCCTTTAGTTGTTGTAATACAGACCAAGATAATCTTTTCTTGAAGATTCTATGACAGTTGGTATGTGCAGTAAATTATGAATAACTGATTATTATAATGATGCAAAAAAAAGAACAAAAATTACAGTTGTGGTTCAACATAAATACTAAAAAATGCACTATCATAAATTAAAACTAAGTCATCAATTCACAACAAGAATAAGGGAAATTAAAGTAGATTACAAGGTAGTTATTAAAGGAGAGTAACTGAAGCTCAACTACTTTAAGTAAAATCATTTGATGAATAAAATGTAATGCCAATTTGATAATTTGCTTTTAGTCAATGCATCCAGTATTATATCAAAAGATGAGAACCAAATGCTGTGATAAGTATCTGTTTTTTCTTAGTACAGAAAAAACCAAGAGATCTGAGTGGGAGTCATCAAACCTGCACCACCAGAACAGGCACAAGCCGAGAGATTATCTTTCTTCACAGTTCCAACATAAATAAAACACACTGCATTATGTAGATGTTTCATCATACCTTACCCATTGAAGATCATTACAGTGGAATGATAACAGAGGTTTTGAACAATGTCTTACTACATATCTGGCACAGAATACAGAAAATGTAAAGATGTAAAAGATAAAGCCTAATAAAATAGGTTTGTTACTACATGCTCCAAATCTTGACATATTAGTGCAAATCTTAAAGTTAACTGCATAAATTGAAGCTAAAAACCAAATAATGTGTTGCTAGACTATGGAATAATGCAACAGATAAACATACAATAATAATTAATACCTTTGAAAACTGTGAGTACCACAAATTATCAAAAAACATATTCCTATAGGTTACAATAATGACATTCATTTACAATACTAAGCACCAATAAATAGTAATTCTGAGAGTACATGAAACATCATATAATAGAGCTGGGTTCATCTTCTATGTATACAAAAACCAAATACTGCCTTTAAAACTTTTAAGTTTTCTAATCAATAATTTACTGTTACATTATGCTAAGTGTAATGGAGACTATAATACTAATGCAGTCCCTATTTTCATACATGATGTGCATAAGCAACTGGCACCATTTATTTCTCCAGAGGTTGTAAACTTTGGTTTAAGTATAAAGTGCCTTCTAAAGGCTGATATTCAATACTGACTTCAAGCTTTTCTAGTAGTGTTTATTGTGAAGAAAAAAAAAGAGGGAGAGATATCACAGAGGAATACTCCTGAACAAAGAATGCAGTACTTCTCTGTCAATACTTTAACAAGCTAGAATATGAATGAATTAAAACATAAAAGACACTGGGACTAAGTTTAAAACACATAACAACAGATTAATTTACTTTCTACAAGACAAACAGCTCTAGTGACAACCTCTCAAAGAGTTTGGCAATGTATATTTGTTATAATACCTTCTTAATTAAAATTACTGATATACATTCAACATCAAAAGCTTCTTCTTGCACGTTAAGCTTCTAAGCTGCTCTTCATTTTTTTTCATTCCTCAATAAACAATGAATTTTGAGACAGAATAAATGAATATCAAACAGGAAAGAAAAAAGTTAAATAATTATCCAAGAACTTCAAGATAAAAAGAGCAGAAAAAGAAGAGAAAAATGATTAAACAATCATAAAAAAAGTGAAGAAAAGGGTGGAATGAGCTTAGTTTCTACCTCGAAGAGAGAGAGAGAGGCTTAACTTTACAGAAAATATCCATAAGAAGTTCAGATTAACAAGAACATTTCCACATAGAAGTTCACAATTTAGTAAACTTCTGATCCATGCTTAGCGGCATTCCCACACCTTGACTGACTGATCTACACTGCCCGTGATTACATATGGTGCATTTCTGTGGAAATCTGGAAATAAAATAGTTTAAGTTGTACTCCTTTTTTTTTCTCTTTTGTTACTCATTCTTAGAAATGATTTTTAAAGATATTTAAATGTAAAAATAATGGCAAATATATTTTGTTCAATAAAAAATTAGTTACAAAGTAAGATTTATTGGTAAATAAAAAAAATAGAAAGAAAACTTTTTCAGAGACTCATAAGTGTTTAGTCTGTTACAAGTTATAAGGATTTTCATAGAAATGAATGCCATTTTTAGCTAAATATTCAATAACCTCACTATATTAAACTTTATGCAATATAGTTATGTGTTTCAAGATCATTTGGAACATTTAAACAACTATGATAGGTTTTAAATTATTACTGGCAATTAGTTTCAGATTATGGTTGATTTCGAATACAAATTTATGACAGTTTTTCATTTTTAATATTTACTTTACATGTATTTATCTCCAAACCAGACTTTAGCTGTTAAATCTGCTGCTGTTGCCAAATGTAGTTTTGATAATTACTATATGGAATTATCTGCATGATTACAGGATTTGAAACCAAGGTCTTGGAATGAGTCTGGTGGATAATACTCCTGCAATTTACATACTTCAACAAGTTTCAGTTTCCCAATAACTCAATTCTATCACATAAACACCCAACAGAGGACGTGCGTGGAGCACTTAGTGATAAACATTATCCAATGAATGGTCATGATACTCAAATAACAGTATTGTTTTCTTAAGTGCTGAAAATGATTTTTTTTCTTGAACAAAGCACAACTACATAATGGGTCTCTCACTCAGTAATTGCCAGTGCAGATTGTGAATGATCAAGAACATAATTTTTCTCAACCCTCTTTTATTAAATATGCTTAAAACACAAACAGAGATTTTCAACTTCTCAGTCTTAAACTAGAATATACGGTACTCTAATTAGAATTCAACACTCTCTTAATGGGTTGCATATAATACACGGCCAGTTAAGTTTCTTTTGTATTTGTATGCCTGTAGAATAAACAATACTGGTAAATAGATACAATTTTTTCAACTTGCTATGTAATTTTTTATTTCTATTTTCAGATTTTCTACTTTAAAAAAAAAGTAAATTAAAATTTCCTTTTTTTTCTTTCAGTTCAATTGATAATCAATTTTATAATGCCACTTTTTCAAAATTAAACCATCAATGACAAGATCTGAAAACCAAAATTATCTTCACCACCACCACTTTTAACCAAAGAAATTGGTGGATAGTACAGGATTTTATGAATTTGGAACCACTGACAAAGGAGTAAGGCTTCTTTACCAAATATTTGTTTATTGAAATATTATTATTATTTAAAATTCAAAAATGATTTTATATTAACAATAAATTATCACTATTTTTATGATTTATGAACAAAATGAAGTTTCTATTTTTCATCTTATTTTTTGGCAAACACACTATTAACTTATAAAAAACAAACCATAAGAGAAAATGTAATTTATCTGATAGCTAAGTAGGTACATTATATTTTTGAACCCTATCTTAAAAATATGTAGGAACAGATAACAATAATTTTACCTAATGAGGTACAGAAGTGTGTGTGGGCATCCAGAGTCTTAGAACAGCGCTTATTTTTTATGTCCCACACTCTCAGGGTTTTGTCATCTGAAGCACTAATGATGTACTTTCCTCCTGGGTGGAATTTCATTCCTCTTATCCAGTTGTCATGCCCAATCTACAACAGACATTTATATGAATTTTAAATTCATAGTATTTAACCATATTGCTTCAGTAACTTTGAAAATTTGATGAAACATCTTTCAAGATGCTATGAAGTTAATAAATCAATTTCTCCTTAGTTCATTTTAACATATTAAAGTACTTAAGATACTAAAATTTGCAAAAAAACAATACTGCATATGATATTTAGCACATTACTTCAAGATCATAACAACAAACACTTACAGAATTAGAAGTAAGCAGACTGAACTATTCTGTTTATTTCAGTCTGTTGAAATCTACTGATTTTCCTTTATTCACAGTTCCTGTTCTTTATTCTTATTTGCTAAGGATTTTAAGTTGTCCTGTACTTGTAGATTTATTACAATCATTGAGTGCATGTTTCTTAATATTGGAAAATAATAAACTTCAAATTTGCAAGTCTTGACAATTTTAGGACCCATGGGTGCAAAAAAGTAGGATATTTTACTAAAAATTTGGCTGAAAAAAATATGAAACATATCTTTGAAAAAAGTGACATAAAGCACAATAGTAATTATTAGTAAACAGCTTAGCTACATTAGTTGAGCTGATTTCAACACAACTTTCAGATTTTCAATCAGATACCAGGAAGAATGGAAACGGTGGTAACTGGCAGAGTATATAATGAACACAAAAAACGAAAGAAAGGAACATGCCATACTTGCTATGTTTGTCATCTTTGTGATCCATTACCCTCATGCACTGTACCTATGATGTATATTAACTACAATAGAAAGCATAAGAGTAGTCAGTTGTCAAATTAGTAATAAAAATAAAAAAAAGGCACAGCCATATTAGGGTTAAGATTTTTGAGGTGCTGGGTCTTAGATATAGATATTTGATCCTTAAATCTGTAACTTTGTTGTAATATATCGTGGTATATTTAATTCTAGAGCTATAATTATTAAGGCAATAATTCAAGAGAAACTAAACTATTGAAAACCTGTACCACATGATAAGGATCCTGACCAAATTAAGAAAAATTTTAGAAGTTTATCATCTGCAATGTGAGTGTGTAATGATCACTTATAAATGGATAGTAAACCAATTTCACACAACATATTTTATAATCCTAAGTGAAACATTTTCTAAATTTAACGTGACAAATATCCATAATCTTAAAAGTAGTCAAACAAAAACAATATTGCTTATTTTTATTTATGGGGGAGGTTAATAATTCTTGGGGAAATTGTAATACCCATTATAAAAAAACAAACAACTTATACACCTTAGTATTTCCTGTTCAATTACAGTTTAAGAAGTAAAATATTTATCTACTAAATTATATACAACATCAGTTAGTGATTTAAATTGTTTGGAACTTATAACTTTCACAAACAAGGATTATTAATTCTTAAATTTAAGAAAGCTTTCTCACTAATCAAAGTGATCTAAAAATATTTCATATTTAAAAAATATAGACATTACAAACATATGGATACTTTAACAGATGAAACATTACTATGGGACTTTTTTTTTCTTAACAATTTCATACAAGCAAAATCAAAAGTTGTTTTATTTTATTCAGAGAAATCTTTCTTTTGAAATAAAAAAATGTAGAGGAAGAGTTTAAGATACAGATATTTAATGCATTTCATTTTTTACATTTAAAGAATATTTATTTAATTAAGTTCTATTGGATGTTGAGTACAAGTTCCCAATATTCATTTTTGTAAGTATTATAGTTTTATAATCCATATCTCAAGTATTTTACTTGTTTTGTAAGTGTCAATGTCAACAATGACCTCATAATCAAAAATTAAAATATTTTGAATAATGACTAAATAATGATTAAAACATTGTGAATCGATCGGTTTATATTTCAAGGTCAACATTTTGACCCCCTCAACCCAAAGAGAAAACTTTAATTATGCTTGTTGTACAATAATTCCCACGTTGCCTACAATTTTGGTAATTCTTGATCAATCAGTTCAAATTCCAAAGAAGCCATGTGTAATGTTTCTATGAGAGGTGCCATAATGAGGAATTATATTTTTACTAACACTTAACTCTCTCAGAGGCTGGCCTTGTAACCAATTTGTGCTTGTTATAGTTTTCCTGCTATAACTTTTAATATAGTAAGTGTATCTTCAAAAAATTTTGCAGATTATCAGTAAACATTACAAGGCTTTCTTATGCAAAATGTTAGATTTCTTTATTAAGTTTTGAGATTTTTTTAAATAGTATTTTTTTTATTTTTGAATGTTGACTATCCAACATGCAAAGTAATTTTGATTTTAAGATTAAAATTACTTTTATGCATCAGAAAATTATCAATGTTTTTTTTTATCTGTTATTTTCACTATTGTATCTCTGTACTGGTTTGGTCAATTTGACCAATCTTGTAACGTCCATAAAAAATTAGGAAATAGATATAAATTATGCTTTTTTTCATTCTAAAATTACTACAAATTATAACATGGAAACACAAATATTTAATCTAAATAGCTTAACTCTCATAATGTTATACATCTGTATATATTTATTATTTTTATGTTATTGACCTTTCAGCCATGCCTGACTAATATCACAGAAGTTGCAATGACACGGCACACATGCATTCATGTTACTATATTTAAGAACATAAAACTGGCCTTTACAAAGTGACCTGTCCTGGCTATGTTCTAGTGGACCAGTATTTTGTAAAATACAGTGACATTTCATTTATAATACATTATATATGTATATACATTATTACTATTAACAAATAAGTTCTTAAATTCCTGGTATTTTATTTAAAACATATAACAGTAAATAAAGAAGTATAGAAAACAATTATCTCTTCTAGTTATAAACTTTTTACTTATTTGCTGCTTACCGTAAGTTGCTAAGCCTTATAAAATTTGGCATGTGGAGAATGTAAAACAAAATAATTTTTTTAGGTTTAATATATACATTTTGAAATATTATATTAATTATATAAATACTATATTAATACCACAGAATTCCACTATAATGTATCAAGCTTAGTAAACAAGCTGTAATTCGGTCTAAAAAATATGAGTTTTCGAACTCACTAATGTCTTACCTTGCCACTTTGAATCTAGTATGAAAAGAAAGAGTTTCCCACACAAATACTTCGCAGATGTTAAGAAAACAACTAGGGGACATTCTGAGCTTTTGTTAGGTGTACATAAGCAAGAATTTTCAAAAATGGAAGAAAATAGAAAGATTGGAGGTTCTTATATTATAACTTGCCAATATCAATAAGTTGAGTATCTAATTTGCAAGAAACTACAGACTTTGTGTTTGGACATCAGAAACATCTAATTTGAACCAATGCTGCATTCAACATAACACATGACACACAAAAATTGATATTTAGGTTGTTTTTTATATTTACTTTTAAATTTAGAAATTATCTAATGCATAATACTATAATATGAATTATAATCTACAATTTGATACCAAACTTATTGACACACATTCATAAAATAGTAGTTCAATAAAATTTTGAATGCGAGTCTACAAACATGATGACAAGACCTTTGACCATAGGAAGACCCATGGAGGTAGGGTTAAATGATAGTATCATATCCTCAAACTTCCCGAAAACATAAAATACTTTTAGTGAATGTTAAGTTCTAGTTCCTTTATTTAAATGCTATCAACTGTTGTTTCATATTCACATGTCTTTTCATAGTAATTGGTGAAAAGGTCAGAATTATAAGTCACTCATTGGCACAGAAAAGTTGGTACATTATTTACTGAAATATCCTTTTTGAAATCTAATGTTATATAAACCAACACTTAATGTTCTCAAACTAATACACAATAAATAACACTTATTTAAATACAATGTAGTTTCTTAGTCCATAGAGTTTATGTTAAACTACTCCGTAGTTCTTTCCAACATTACAGACCCATCCATCAATCTCAAGTTATTAAAACAGTATCATCTAAAATTTTTCTGCTAAGACATTGTTTTTATTAAAAGAAATAAACCCATTTTTTCTTAAAATTTTAAATTTGCATTTAAAAGGCAAAATGATTTTCTTTCATCATTGATCATGAAGTGAGAGAGGATGTTGAAAAGTTGATTCAGCAATACGTAATTAAATATCACCCACCAAAGTAAAGAGGCACAAGCCAGTGCTGACGTCCCACATCTTCAAAGTTTTGTCTCGAGATCCAGACAGCAAGAAAGGACCAGTTCTAGCACCTCTTTTGTTCTGTTGGATAAAGTACAAGTTTCTTTAATTCTTCTTCAAGGTTAATGTGCATACAAGTATCATTCTACCCTTCCTCATTATGATTATCAAAAATCAATTTTATATGACATAATATGTTCCTTAAGCAAAGAATTCTTGGTAAAAATGAAGAATAAAAATGTTTAGCATTTTTATTATGTTAATCAAATATATGTTTTTTTAGAAATCAAGTAAAAATAATTTGATAAGAACTCCCAAGAAGTGTAAAATTAATTACATCATATGACAACTGCTGTCTAACTTAGCATTTTGTGAACTTCATTTCTGAGGATGACAACTCATTCAAATGTTATTATTATAAAACCTATACGTTGTTTAGTTTGATTAAAATCAGAGAGTATTAGGTCATCAAGAAATTAATGTCAATTTTTTCTTAGATGAAAAAACCCAAACAACTTATATATATCAAAACAAAACATTTATTAAATGAAATAGTCTCCATTCTTCTTATTGATGATGCTTTTCCATCTTACAATGAGATTGTTAATGCCCAGATTAAAGAAATCACTTGGCTTTGAAACAAAAAATATGTGAATGTCCTCTTTAACACCTTCCACATTTGCATACCTTTTCCCATTAAGACGGTGTTGCAGCAAATGAAAAAGATGGTAATCTGATTGTGCCATATCTGGAGAATATGGTGGGTGGGGGAAAATTTCCATAATCTTGTGTTGTGTCAAACATGCCACATGTGGACGTGCATTGTCGTGGAGAAGAAGAACACCTTTCTGATTGATGAGTGAAGAGCATTTCTGAAGAAGGGCTTGATTTAAATGTTCCAGTTGCTGACTATAGATCTCTGCATTGACATTTCGCTGTGGATTGAGGAGTTTGAATAAATTACTCCTTTGATGTCCCACCAAATTCAAAGCATTACTTTCTGCGGATGGAGTCCAGGTTTTGGGGTCAGAAGTGGTTTCTGTCTAGGACTGAGCCATTGTTTTTGGTATTTAATATTTGCATAGAGAATCAATTTTTCATCAACGGTGACAATTCTGTCCAAAAATGGTTCACAGGCATTACGCACCAAAATAGACGAAGTAACGTCCACACGTTGTAAACGATGATCATTGGAGAGTTCATGAGGCACCCAAACACCTTCTTTATGGAGTTTTCCCATATTCCTTAGATGTTTATGTATTGTTTCATGAAAGACATGCAATTTCAGGGCCATTTACTGAACCATCGTTGACATTTACGAACGTTCAAAACATTTCCATAAACTTCTTTGATATTCTTTGTGGCTGCAGAGGCATTGTTTCCCTTCTTGTTTTGAAAGAGCATCACGTGCTGAATGTGTATCTTGTCATGTGCCATCAGTATAAGGGATTAGAGCATACTAAACTTTACACATTATATAGGCTACACTAACGTAACCTTTTGGTAGGTTATTTAACTATTATACGCGATGTACATTCTTTGGGAGGTGGTTACTGAAAGTGTTCCAAAACGCGACATTAATTTCTTGATGACCTAATAGAAATGTGCATACCTATGATCTTTTTTTAAGCTCAAGTATTAATTGATAAAATGACAAACACTACCCTATATACAACTTTGGTAATTCACACTTCTTACTTAAATATTATGTTTAAACTTTCACATATGCCCAGCTTCACAAATTTCATAGTAATTCACAAAGTCATTTAACATTTTAGAAATGGTGGTTAAGCTCAACATACCACTACTGAAGGTTGTATCTGCCTTGATGATCATATTGCTACTGCCCCCCCCCCCCTCATTTTGTGCAGCTTTCCATAAACTGGCCATTGTTTTAAGTAATAACTTCCAACTACATGTTTAAGCAGACCAAAAGTCCAAGCTATAAATGAGAACTTGAAATGTGGTTGAGTGTTGTTCCTGTGATTCCAGTTTTGTCAGTCATCTTTCTTATGAGAATAGCTATTGGTTTTGAGGTGTAAATGGAATTATATGAACTTTAAAGCCTTGTTTATAGATACTAGAAGATTCACCCACCTTCTTCCCTACTGATTTTTGAGTTCTATTTTTTAACCATAGTTTTCATATTGTGGATGAAGGCACTAGTCCTGATTAGCTCAGAGTGTAGTTTTGAAGCCTGTTGCTGTTTTAAATGCTCTACGGAGCATATTTTTCTGCTTTTAAGGAGAAAGTTGAAGACTCCCTTCTTCAAAATATTGTATTCTTTGGCTCTACATTGTTTAATGATCTAACTATATTAATACTTCTCTTTAAAAGTAGTTACATAGTCCCATAGCCATAGATTAAATGTTAGAGGCATTTTTATAAGTTCAGTCAACATGATTTGCTTTTAAATGATGCATGTATGTCTATCTTTGTAAATTATCATTTTCAGAGTGAAAAGATTTAAGCTAAATTTCTTAATAGATGTTAATTACTTGACCTGTAAAACATTCTTACCATTTACATATTATAAATAACTTTTGACTTCAACTGCCTAATTATTATAAAGAATTTTGCTATGATACATGATCTAATTTATTTGTTTGGCTTCAGTTCGACACCAGATTTATTTATTATAAGCTCAGAAAGCTTAAATTACTATTATTTATTTTCTGGTTATTTTTTTAATTATTTTAAACAACAGAATTTTTTCTCAATATATTATACTTGGGCAAAAACATATTTAAATTCAGCAAAATTACTATACATAGCCATTAGAAAAAACAAAATTATCTGAAGAATCACTACAATATCTACTTGTATGGAAAGTATAGCCAAAAACCTTGCCAATATGTATCACAAGAATGTTTATGGTATATTTTTCTTAAACATCTGACTTAAGATACTTACATCAGCTCCAGCTGCTTCACTAATTGCTGGAGTAGCACTCTCAGGAGCCCAAGCAACACACTCCACTACATGATCATGTTCACGCAGCTCAAGTTTACATTCTTTTGTAGTGACCACCCACACTCGTATGGTCTAAAAGTTATTAAAATATTTTATACAAAACACTCTTAAAACTATACACTATTTCTCCTACTGGTTCTTCTGAGTAATGAGCAGAATAATTAATAACTATGGTGTTAAAATGAACAATATAGTATACAATAATTCTTACTCTAATAAACAAAATTGAAGAAAGAAATTACACTTCACCAATTTAATCTACTTCACACCATAACAGTTGTTGTCAAGCGATTTGTTAACATAAAGAGTCTCGACCACTACTACACCTACCATATTCCAGCCAGCCTGAAGAGTCCTGGCATTGAATAAAATGGCTCACTGGCACTGGAAGTAGCACATATGGTATATAATATGGGTTTACAATTTTTGGACTTAGATATTTTCTTCAGTTTTTATAAACTTAAAAACATAAGGAATACTACATATATTTTTACAAATACTGTTTTAAAATTTTCTAAGACTACAGATTTACAAAGCAAAGTATCCTTTGTATGCACTTTTCATAATCTAAGTGTACTTAATAGGTTATTCTGACATCTGTAATCATTACAAAGTACATTTCTATAAATATTTAACTACAAAATATATCAGTAATGTGACACTGCAAGTGGCATATATGTGCAAAAAGTATTCAAATTCAAACAAACTGACAGTTTCTATTACACAGTTTAAGTGCACAGTGGTGACTTGAAAATCATTATTACAATAAATATGACCAGTTTCTCTTTTGTTTGTCAAACTCAAAATATTATTGTTATTAAGTATTAACAGGTTATTACAAACTGTATGAAAAATCTTGAAAGTAAGTTCAGATTGTTTATAATGTTTTATAGTGCTCAATGATATATAACAAAGTGAGAAGATGTAAAATATTGTTGAAACATGAAAGATATTTAAGAATACAAGAAACGTGAAGCTACTAAAAAAAAGTTCTTCTAACTAGATATTTTTCAATTTTTTTTGCTCTATATGCTAAGAACTTCTGAAATGGTATTTTGTACATGATTTTCATTTTTTTTATGTTTTAGTTTACCTGATCATTGGAACAAGAAGCAATCAAGGAACCATCCTGGTTAACCCTCACCATTCTCACCCATTCCCTATGGCCTGTGAAGGTTTTGACACAGTATCTGTTAGATGGAATAATAAAACATTCTAATTTAGTCCTTTTCAAACACTCATATTATTTGAAATTTGTAACAAAATAAAATCTAAGGTAATCATTGTTTTATTCCATGTACTTTCCACAGATCACTCGTATAAACTTTCAGACATCTTGATTTTTTTTTCAAAAAAGGGTTATAGAACATGTATGGAAATAATGTGAAAGAGATAGTTCTTTTTCATTCATATCCATTTCAAATATGAATGTTTTCTAGTTTTATTAGAATCTGACAGAATTCAGTGAAGAACATTTAAGAACAACAAGAGACCTGTTGGCCCATCTTGGCTGTCCCATTCACCAAACTATTAATAGTAGGGCTGGGGGACACAAATATAAATTTTGGCAAGGTAGGAGTCATCTTCAGCTAAAACAGTTTTATTTTTCTAACAGAGTGGTTGGCCTTTGGAATGAATTGCTTTTATATATTGTAGAGGCAGTAAATTTAAGCGAGTTTAAGAAAAAGCTTGATAAGTATATTAATCATTTAAATTTAGGTTTTAGGATGGAACAGTCAATTGGACCAATAGTTCCCATGTGTCATAAAATACTATGTTATGTTAATAAAAAGCACAATGACAATCTTTATCATTCAAATATTTACCAAGCCCTCTCATTAATCCTATGTGTAAAGGTAAAATTAAAGTGTACATTTGATGACCTTGTACACAATTACATTGAAAATTTTATTAAAACAACTTTATTATCACTGTATGTCAATAAACTTGACATGAAAATATAGTTTATAATTCAAATTTTAATATTATATTAGTCTTAATTTTCAAAAGGAAATATTTAAATTCTCAATCTTCACTTCTTTGTAACATGTGACACTTCTTCACTTAGAATTGTCCAGTTTAGCTTATTGTTATCCCCCTATATGACATTCTAAGTCAGTGTTTCCAGAGCTTTGATAACCAAGACGTTATCCCCACAAGGATGAAAAAAACATGGCAATTTTATTTATTTAAATAAAATATTGACTCCTCTGGAAACCTGCTCATGTTCCACAATTTGAGAAACACTGTTCTAACTTACTCACAAAGTTCACAACCATATTATAGTTATCCTTCAGTTAAAATGTATATCAAAACAAGTCAATAACTTTTACTGACATTTTCTTTTGGATTATTTAATTCACAGATTTCTATATAAGGCTATCTCTCTCTGTGACAACAGAGTTTGAAATGTTCTGCATATGGGTTCATTGTTGATACCACCATGAACACATAAAACAGATAAGGGAATAATTTTAACCAACTTATAGCTTAAACAGAAAGCCAGTTAAATTACAAGTTATTATAGGGCATTGTATTCTTTGTGTTTGTTATTACATTGTGTTCTCAAATGTATGTTTGAGATGAATAAAAATCAAGTAAAGTACTAATAATAATTCCATCAAGACTTCAAAATGAAAAAACGTAAAAGACACACACACACACAAGTACTAAATTTCTTGTTTCTCTATGTATATTTTTCACTTATTATTCTAAAAATAAATTAAAATGTAAAAATTTGAAACTTATTAGATTACATGATAAAACTTCAATGAAAAAAGTTAAATAATTTTTTGTTATCATAATACTCCTTGAGGAATCTTCAAGAACATAGATGTTGCATGTGGTAACCAAAGACTTTGATAATTATAATCTCTTTTCATCCCACTGTTTGATTTAATGCTTGCCATGGGAAATAGACATGGTCCAAAGAACCATAAAATAATAAAATTAAATGAAAGTATTTTAAAAAGTTAAGAGGCCTAAAACTCTTAACATAAATAATTGTAATTATCTGTTACAATCGGCAGTCTTCCTAGAAAATAAGAAAAAGGTATTTTGATTTTATTTCATATTTTTCAACATTTTGCTATTGATTATTTCACAATAGTTAGGGTTATGGTATAAAAAATAAGAGCTAAAGTAAAAAAGTTATAACAAAAACATTTTGACTCTCATTTAGAAGGTTCTAGAGATTATGCAAATACAATATGAAAGCTGTAGGATGAAAAACAATATTTTTATTCATAACATGAAAATCACCTTGCACTCAAACTAGCTCAAGTCGAAGTCAGACTGACTCAGTATATTAAAAAACAAATATTTTGTAAAAAGTCTTTATTAAAAATTCGGACTTTTTGTGCCCAACATACTTATAACGTTTATTAAAAGCTTACCAAATTTTGTGAAGATACATGTTGCAAATTGAGAATTATGGTAAACATTAATTATCCAACATGGGGTGCATGTAGGGTTAAACTCCCTTAAATTTAATGCTTCTACAATATCTGAAAGCAATCCAATCCAAAAGCTATCTACCCTCTTGGTAAAACATGTGTCATAGCTGAAGATAATTCCTATCTTGTCAAAATTTGCATTTATGTCCACTATGCATCAACACCATAATCTTCTTTAACAATCTCAAACATCTCAAACAGATCTTCTCTAACTCTTCTTTTTTCAAAACAAAACAATTTTGTATGATAACCTTTCCATCCCAGATGTCATCCTACTAAACCTTCTATGAACCCTTTCCAACAAAGCCTCTCTAAGGTAAGGAGCCCAAGACTAGAAAAAAAAAACAATACTCGAAGTGTGGCCTAACCAGCAAACTATAAAATGAAATTATAACCTCTTTACATTTGTATTCAATATTTCTGTACTTATTTGCCCTACCACTAGCAACAGCAAATTGCTTGGATGGCTCAAGACATTTAACAACAAGAATACCAAGATCCTTTTCTTAACACTGTTAAGGTTATTTCCATCACAATCATACTTACAATTAAAATTATGATATCCCACATGCATTAACTTGCATTTATTATAATTAAAAGGTATTTGCCATTTATTCACCTGACTCACCAAATAATCTAAATCTATTGTATAGCATCAACATCTTCCTCACAGCTAGTAACACACAAAGCTGGTATCATTAAGAAATTTAAGTAACGTATTGACCATTTCTTCATCTATTATGTTATTAATATATATATCACAAAGAGCAAAGGTCCTAAAACTGAGCCCTGAGATACCATACTTGTGACATTAATCCAGTTTGATCAAACTCCATTTATAAACAACCATCAAGCTATTCTTCTATACACCTATAGAAATAATATTTTTAACAAGCATTTTATGTGGCACCTTGTCAAATACTTTCTGAAAATTCAAATCCACACTCTTACCCTCCTCTACATAAGCAGAAAAGCTTTTCCTTCATTTTTTCTAATAAAATAAAACAGAAGTCAGCTTATGTATACAATATGTAGAAGCAAGAAGCTCCTACTCACTGGTTAAGTTAGCTGAAGGTTCTGATAAACATCTTGTTTATCAGCAATTTCAAATTTTTCTTTTTCCATCTTCTATCACATTTCTTGAAATAGAGGGAGAGAGAGTTGTAAGAAAATATCCAATTACTGCTGTTTTGTGGTGACAAACTGAATCACTTACCCTGTGGCCACCTCCCACATTTTGATGGTTTTGTCTCGAGAGCAAGATATTATATGATCACCACTAGGAGTAAAGCTCACAGAGGAAACATTGTGGTCATGTCCTAGGAACAAAATAGCAGGATATTAGTTTAAGCCATACACCACTATGGAAAGAATGCTTAAGATATGGAACAGATAGCAGTGCTATAAGGAGAAAAAATCGTATGTGTGAACTTCCAACATTTTGTTACTATTCTTTATATTTTATTGAATAATGGACTTAATAATTATCAATATAATTTTTACCTCAAAACATGGGTATGAAAACAATCAATTGTGCACACAGTACAAAGCATTAACAATAACAAACGAATAGTTCAAATTAAAGCATAAGATTCCTTAATTGCATTTCATAAAGAATACATTTAAAATAAAGCTGTAGTAGTGAGAATTAGGAGTTTCTCCTAAGTAGCACCTTACCATATTCCTCTCTATCAAAACAGCCTTATAAAATACCTTATAACAAAATGACAACACTTGAAGATTTAACAAGAAACAATATTCACATGTCACTAAATACAAATATCTAACAATTTTCTTACCTTGCATTGTCTTGACACATTCGTAAGCTTGAAAGTCCCATAGCTTCACAGACATGTCAGCAGAGCATGACACTGTAATGTTTAATTGTAGAACATACAACAAAATCCAATGTGTTCATAAAAAGTAACATCAAAAACATTCAAAAATATTTACATATTATTAAAATTTAATCAAAGATCATACAAGAGTTATCATTGAAACTGCTATCTCTTTTTAACCAGTAATCCTTGAAATTAAATATAACCTTGTTGCAAAGAAAAATCATCTTAAGCTTTTAAAAATATTAATATCATAGCATTTTTATAGTAATGATTTTAGTAAATACAACTGTGAATAACACTTAATTCTTAAAAAATATATTATGAACACATGATTGATATTTCCATTTCTTAAACAATTTTGAATGAAATCTATTCACCAATAGCAAAATTTAGATATATATGGAAATCTGTTTTCCAGGCTACTTTATTATCATGTCATAAAATTGTTTGAAAACTGGAATTCAGGAAATTTTTATTTTAATTTATTTGATATCTTGAGCATCAAATTATACCCTTCTTTACAGTCATGTCACTATAGTGATTTGCCCATGATAGAGTGACAATAAACATGAAACTGTTCAAATGAGGAGAATTTAAAATGGTATAATAATTAAACCAATTAACATATTAATAATAAAAGTTCACTTTTTAAATTTTAAAAACTTATAAAAGAAGTTGACAATAAGTAATACATTAAGAAAATACAAAGCAACTACAACTTTATGATATTGTTAGCATGGTGTAATTATGCTTTTTTGAGAAAGCTATATCATGATCAAGAACTGGCATCTGGAATTAATGGTTTATACAAACCATTACACACAAGCAGAAAACAACCTAACTATAGATCATTGATGTAGCATGTTTTTCAATCAGGACAGTTAAGAGCTTTATATGAAAACAAGTAACACTTGTAAACAACAACCTTAGAAGTATTTAACTCTTTACCTAGCCACTTTCCAGTGTGATCAAATGAAACATCTTGAACTGAGTCTGTGTGGCCCTTTAGAGTTTTTTCATAATCTCCAGTTTCATAATCCCAAACCTTAAAATGAAATATTATTAAATAAAGGACTCCAATTAGTTTGAAAATTAAGTTTTATCTAATATCAAAATGTTACAAAGTATTATTGAATTTAAAATAGTTATAATTAAAATACAGATTAATGTAGCTGTAAAATAATTAAAAAAACAAATAAAAAAGCATTATACTATATAACAATGAAGGCAGTAACAGTGGTTTACATTGGAACCTTATTTTTATATCTGCAGTAAATATAAAACTACATTTAACATGAAAATAGCAATGTATTCATGAAAAAAGTTGAAAAATTAAGTTGCAAAACCAAATCTTACCATATTTACTTTATACATTCTAATGTAAAAACATATATTCATGAAAATGGAATTGATTTTCAACATGATCATTACAAAATTCTGTTTTTCACTACATCTGTCTGAAAACATGACATTCAGAACAAATCAATGTCTTCTGCTTATTGTTGCAAAACTACTCAGATAAAGAAATAGGCTATTTCAATATATGAAATCAATAACAAAATTATGCCTCAACACGGAGAAAGATGAGAATACAGAAAAGTTTAAGTTAAGCTAAGACAAAGGAACACACATAAGCCTATTATAAGTTACTCTAAACCAAAAGAGACAATAACAGTGATAAGTTTACCCTGAACCAAAAAAGAAGTAACACAGATAACTTTACTCAAAATCAAGGAAACAACTAACACAGATATTTCAACTAGAACAACAATACGTGGCAGGAATTTCAGTACGAGATCCTCCGAGGTGAAACCTCGGGGGATTACTGGGGGTGCTCAGAAGCTTTAGCTTCTCTTCACTCTCTCATGATGGTGGTGGTTTTGTGGTTTAAGCATACTTGAAGAAGATTGTGTTGACATGGGAGATTTGAAGATGCCTCAAGCAGTCAGGAGGAGTTTAGAGAGCCATATATAAAGGAGATCCAGACTTCATAAACCAAACAGCCCCTGTGGGACAAAGGGTCATTCAGGGCGGCAGGGATCAGTAAATCCAAAGCTGGAGAATGTTGCTGTGGGGGGAATTAAACCAAGAAAACATTAAAATTAATAAGTCTACTCTAAACCAACTAAATTTTGACATTGTTTGAAATTTCTTAAGTAGTGTTATGCCATCAAAAACTGATCTCTTTTGGGGAGGGAGTGTAACAGCAACAGCTCTTTCCAATGCAAAATATTTATATGCTCATAACAAAAAAATGATGTTCAGATCAGGGATTTAGAATTTCCAAGACAGGAATGTTCCTTGTACTTAAGAGCATTGGAAAACAAACGAATATGGATAAATTTGAGGAACAGGATCATCCTTAAAGAGACTCACAACAAGTTATAAACAGCCATGGAAAACAAAGTGTGGCACTCTGTAACAGGTGAGAATCCATGAACACAAAGATCAATATCAAAAGGTTGTTCACTTAAACCTAGCAACAGTAAGCAACATATTCAAGAAGAATATCCCTCTGAAAATGAGGCCAACAGGATACAGGTTCACAAAGAGAAGACTTCTAGTCATATCTCCCATTAAACATTTGCATATTTAAAGCAGCTAGAGAAAGAAGTGGATATTTATACTAATCCATACCAAGACATATCAGTCAAGTTGCCAAACACAATACCTTTAAATTTATGTTGGAACAGACTATTAACTGGCAGCCTTGTGCACCAGATGAATTATGGAAAGCATGAAGAAAGAAGTGATATGATTTGGACATGACAACTGTGAAGGATCCTTTTGCAATGGAAACTATGCTGCAGGGCTAATGCCAGGATGCACAGTCATCAAACAGAAAATGACTGGACATGGGAATGTGAACTATATTGATATTGTGTGTGTGTGTTTGTGTATATATATATATCATTCCTAATTATTTTTTAATCATTTTTCTGCTGACCACATTCTTCCTTATTTTGATATGTTGAGTGTGTTATTTATTTAATGTTATTAATGATTAATTAGCAAATTTTCTTTTTTGATTACCAAAATTATGTTACTTTTTTCATATTTATATTTCATAAATTATTAGTCATACAAAGTAACCCAACAATATCTAATCTCTTCTGAATTGTTGTGATCATCAGTTTACCATAATTCCCTGTATTTGTTAATGACTTGATCTTTGTTTAGATTCTCATACTGATTTTTTCAAAGTTCTACCAATGCTAAGGGCTTAGAATTAAATTGTCAATTTTTACATTGAAAGTATTAATCATATACTTTTATCTGTCTAGCTTCCACATTTTTAATTACCAATCTATTTTCTTCTGCAGTCTTTTTAATAAAGCAATGACACATACAAGTATAGACCAAATCAAGAAAGCATAAAACAAATAAGACTACTCTATACCAAGACAACCGAGTAACACTGGCAAGTCAATTCAAAACAGACTACCACAGATATTTAAATAAGAACTGGAAAAAAACAGATAAATGTACTATGAACCAAGACAGACAGTATAAAAGATAGATCTACTATAAGTCAAGTGCTAAAGCTAGCCAATAATGTGAAATAGTAAAGGCCAAGAGGTGATGCTGTCGACTGGACAAAGAAAGCTTGTTTATCTGTTGAATTCAGGTGTGATATCATGGTTCAGTTCTAATCTTGGTTTTTATTGTGACTAGTTTGGCAGAGATCCATCTGGAGAGATGGAAAGCAGACAAGCTGTTCACTGATCTAGCAGACGTGATCATCCACTTGTCTATGCAGGTATGCACAGCTGCTTTTAGTTGTATCGAAATATGTTTTTACTGTCCATCAAATGTGTCCATGCTGTTTATTTCCCATACAACTCAAAATTCAGTCAAGTTATCAAACACAGATTACTGTCCTTATCTTATGATTGAATCTGCTGTTATTAGCAGGTCTAACAATCTGATACTTGGAGGGAAATTAGTTCACCTGAAAATAGCACAAAATAGAGAAAGAGAAACCTTAGTGCTATGAAAAAATGATTTATTGAGAAGTTTCTGCTTTTTGTTAACATGTGTACTGACACTTTTTTTATTTTGTATGTTGAAAATAGTTTAAGGTAATGCTTTTATTGAAAGTATGGCTTATTATATACATAGAAGTTCCTATCATGACCAAGAGGGAAAGTTTAAGGAAGTGAAGGAAATTATGGGTCATTATTGTGGATTGGCATCTGTTAAGTCCAAGATCACTTGGGGATGTCTTCACAAGATTCCCAGGCTGTTTCCAGCCAGAGAAACTCAGCTCTAGATTTGGTACAGACCACAGAAAATCAGTCAAAAATGACTGGACTTATCATTGTTGGATAACATCTGCCAATAAGAGCTGTTTCCTTGCCAGGTGAGATTGTGGACATTCATTATTTTGTGCAACCAACGATTAAAAGAAAATATTGTTCTTTGTTTTCTGAACTATTAGCTAGTAATGTCCAGCATACATTTCAAAACTACTACTCAATAATCAAATCTAGTGCATTCATTAGGTCAAGCACCTGATGACGGAAAGGAAGTGATGTTCCTTGCTTTCTGAGCTATTAAGTGATGCACACTATGATGTATGCACTACATTCACAGTTGAGATGATCATGAGATTTAAAGGGTGTGTCATCCCCTTACATTCCAAGCCAATGAGTTAATTTTATGACAAAAAACGTTTTCTACTGTTTTGAGAGAAGCACTCCCATAATCCAGACAGTGGTGATAACTCTATGCCACCTTGTATTCACTACATTTTTGCATCTATTTACCTAAGACGTATGATGCTGGATTTATGAGCTATGAGGGAATTGCATTTCCTCTGAAAACCTGAACAGAAACAAGGGCATGGAGAAAAAGGATTGGATCTTGATTTTAAGAATTGATGAGTACAAGGACAACTGTGGTAATTAATCTGGAAGGTATTACTGTTATTTTGACTAATACTAGTAACTGAAAAATTTAACTGGCAACAAATGTTCATTGAAGGGAGAAAAGTAACAAAGACTCAACTAAGGCTAGAGAAAGAAAAACACAGTTTTAACTGGTGGTTCTAACAACACAATTTTACCTGTTGTTTCTGAAAACTTAGTGCAGAAAATATTTTGAGGTAAAATTATCAGATGTAAATGAAATTCACAGAAAGTGGCTTACATATCATAACAAATATATATATATATATATATATAGAGAGAGAGAGAGAGAGAGACACACACACACACACATTTGGTGTAGCCTGTATTTTATTTGGTTGTGACAGGAGGATGTTCATTCATGCATATTTAAATATCTTTAATACCCAAACAGTTTTACTGAATATTTTTGCAACTCTGATTCATTACCAAATGCTTTATGAAGGCAGGAAAATGCAGGTTGCATGTACTGGTGTGTGTTTACACCCACATGGTAAAACCCTGTAATTAACACCAAAAAATAGTACACAGTTTGTAAATGGAAGTCAATAAGGAAAGGCAATGAAAGCATTGGTGAAGTATAATGATTAAAGGTATGATTAATGATTAATTCAAATCAGGCCAAGTGTGTAGGAGTTGAGCAGTCTCAACCCTATTCCTTCTTACTGGAATCATGAATCTGTCTACGCAACAAACAGGTAGTAAGCTAGAAATGAGACTGGGTCAAAAGGTTTGGCATGTGTGCTCCCTTGTCTGGAAAGAACAATGAAGGGCATTATCGCCACAATGTAGCTGACTGAGTGGAAACCCAAGAAAGCTCACTGTTCTGGAAATCCTCAGATTTTCTGGGCATATGTTCTACTGTACATGTCATTGTTCCAGCACCTAGCTCATGGTTATAACTGTGTGTTATGACACCCCTTAACCTACATACTTGACTAAACTTTTGAACAATAGAATTCGCCTATCCTTACACTGGAATCTGAACTTTTGTATGAAGAACTGAATTTTAAATGTGTCTGGTTATTTAGTTTTTAAACTAGCTAGCAGTTTTTCCATTCCTTGTTGCTGAATAACCACAAATCATTTTTCATTGTGTCATAGAATACCAGCACTTCTGAAGAATATCAAGAGGAAATACCAGCTAAAACAGCCAGTTGATGATCAGCTTCTTCATTGCTCGATTGGATGCTGAGAATGAGATCCATTGATGTTGGACAGTTACAGAAGTGTTCCCTCAAGAACTCTATTATGAGGAAGCTGTATATTTGTATATATATATACAAATATATATATTTGTATTGTACATTATTTTTATACATTTTATATTTCCTTTCAGTGTTTATATTAGGTCATCATGAAATTAATGTCGCATTGTAGAACACTTTCAGTAACCACCTCCCAAAGAACGTACATCACGTATAATAATTAAACGACCCATCAAAACATTACATTAGTGTAGCCTATATAATGTG